TCTACAGCTGTGAAATCCTCTCCTGAGGCCACACAGGGCTCTAGACACTTGGAATGAGGCTAGTATATGAGGAACTTCTGTCTGGCACTTGTGACTAGCAACTAAGGTATTGGACAACCCAGTTGCCAACACCCAGACTGAGCAGTTGGTCACATCTGATTCCCAATAAGATCACAATTCAAACTGACCAATAATACATTATCACCAAAAGTAGTAATTTGGCATCAGTTTCCTCCAGGCAGAAGTGCAGATAGGATCAACACTGGCCTCATGAAGATGATGTTCAGATGACACATGCAAGACACCCAACAGTGCCTGGTAGAGTAAGCACTCAGCATCTGGTATGATACTTACTATTCTGTCTGTAACAATGGCAAACTAGGTAATGAAACAGAATGGTACTACTACCATGAAGTTTTTCAGCAAGGTTTTCCCAGGTCCAAACACTTTGAACCCATCCCATAGGCGAGGATAAACTGTTCCCTAGCAAAGCATATCTTGGGAATCTGACCTCTTGGCACCCACTGTAAACCTCCAGAGACACGATCACCCAGATGGGCAGCTCAGTCCTCTAGCCGATGTTTACTGTGCCTCTACTTTGTGGCAGGCATTACACGACGAAGATCACTACAGTTTGATGAATGTCAGAGTCCCTAGGCCCTGTCCAATGTCTCCAGATTGTTCATGGGTCACCTTGCCCCTGAAAAACTTGGTCAGCATTGGGATGCCTTGAGGACATGGAAATATTTCATTTTGTATCCCACCAGAGAGATGTACTTCCTGTCTTCTCAGACCACCTCAGGCCGGCCAGACCCTGCTGTTCATCCCACAATGGAAGGGACCCCGAGGGGCCAGTCCCATTTTCTCAGGCATGTTAGTAAGAGGGGTGTTGACAGAACATGTTTCTCAGAGAGGCCAAATCACTTTCACAGGAAAGCTGCTCTAGGCTTGCCAAACCCCAACTCTGTCCTGCTTCTCACAGCAAGTGTGGCCAGCTGCCCAAGGGCATCTCCTGCAAGTTCTTATCAGCAAGCCCAATGGGCCAGAATTCCCCCAGGTTCTAGGCAGAAGTTCAGTGGGGTTCTGTAGGGGTTTAAGGGTTATCTTTCTTCTTATAGAAAACAATCAATCTTTCAAAATCTAGGGTACATTCCCTGATGGAATTCCCTCCTGCGAAGATCTCGAGGTAAAATATTCATGTGATCCTCTGCAATAATTTAAGTATGAACTCACTAGAGGCCTTGGAGATGGCTCTGTGGGTAAAGCACTTGCTCTGCAAGCATGCAGAACTGAGTTTGAATCTCTGGAACCCAGAAAGAGTCAGGTTCAGTAGCGAATATCAGTAATACCAGGCTCCCATGACAAGATGGAAGGCAGAGGCAGCATTCCTGGAAGCTCAGGTGCCAGCTAGCATATGAAGCTTCTGACAAGAAACCCTATCTCAAACATAGTGGAAGGTGAGACTGACCTCTGACCTACACATGTGTGTGTGCCCACACTTACACACATGAATACACATACATATTTACACACATATACACATACACAATAATATGGTGGGGGCTGTGGGGGGTGCAGGTGGGGGAAGGGGTCTAAATTTGATTAAGATCTATTATATGAAATGCATGGAAACTCAAAAATACAGATTTATTAAAAATAATATTAATAAACTCCACTAACTGGCAGTGTTGGAGACTTCTTACAATACCCTCTACCTATGTAAACAACATGTTTCAGAGTGTCCTTGCTGGTCCTAGTTTCTCGGGTCCTCTGGCCCCAGGAGAACACTAATCGAGCCATACCCTTGACTTGGAGGTAGGAAAATGGGACTGTGATGTCACCTCCAGAATCTCATACTTGTATTCTTTCTGGTAGGTGTGTAACATGGAATCACCATGCTAGAAAAAGGTCTGGGAATTTCCTCTAAGAGTTGCATATGCCTTCTCTGTGACACAGGTGTTCATCCACAAGACAGGAGAACAGCGTCCCTAGGAAGATTTGTGTACAAATGTTCAGAGCAGTGTTTTTCACAATAAACGGTGACAAAACAGCCTGGTCAAGAACAGGGGTACATATAAACAAACTGTGGTGTACATATGCCTCCAGAATATAACTCAGTAGTAACAAAACTAAATTTAAAATGCTGGGGCTGGAGAGATGGCTCAGTGGTTACAAGCACTGGCTGCTCTTGGAGAGGACTGGGGTTCAGTTCCCAGCACCCATATGGCAACTAACAACCATCCATAACTCCCAGTTATAGGGGATCTGACATCGTCCTCTGACCTCCACGGGCATTGCATGACATGGTGAACTTACACACATGCAGGCAATAGGCAATACACTCATATACATAAAATAAAAATTAAAGATAAAATAAATTAAAAATACTGAGAAAAAAAGCTTTATATAGTGCGTTAGAACTCCATGTGTAAGAAGTTCAGCAAAGGCTACACTGACCTACTGTAGGCCTGAATAATGGTTGCCACTGAAGGTGGGGGCAGGAATTGGCTAGCAGTGGGCATGAAGAAATCAGGGCTGACGTTGATACTCTGTCTCAATAATGACTGGGTTACACAGGTGCATGCCTATGTCAAAACATTATGCAAATGCATTTCACTGTTATGTAGATATCACCTTAAGAACACATGAACATATACTGAGCTCTAACCAAATAGGGGTTGAAATGTTTACAACTGACCTATATAAAAGACTGTAACTTACTTTGAAATACATAAAGCGATAAGTTGGACTAATGGGTGGATAGACAGACCGAAGGCCAGATGTACAATAAAATCGATATAGGAAAATGTTAGAGATTCTAGGTGGGGGACTTTTTCTTTTTGAGACAAGGTCTCATTATGTAACCCAGGCTGACTTCTAACAATTCTCCAGTCTCCACCTCCTGAATTCTGGGATTACAGGAGTAAGCCACCGTACCCACCTAGGTATTTGTAAGGTCCCTTTTGCAACTTTACTGTATCTTTAAGAAAAAAAATGAGGGCTGGGTGTGGTGGTGTGTACTCACAATCCCAGCACGTGGGAGGAGGAGGCAGGAGGATCACTGCAATTCTGAGGCCAACCTGGTCTACATAGTGAAATCCAGTCCAGCCAAGGCTACCTAGTGAGACTCCTGTCTTAACAACATTCCACAGAAGGATCACAGTGCCCTTTATGTCCTTTACCAAATTAGAAATTTGGCCAGACACCCATGTCCACCAAGCCATGGGACCACAGAGTTTCAGCTCTGATGAAGAGAGAATGGTGGAAGGGCCCAAGTAGCCTTACAAGAACCACATCATTCATGCCAAAGATTTGCTGCCTGTTTCCCTACAGACAAAGCAATTATTTGAAAGCAAGCAAAAAAAATCCTGCTCCAGAGGGAGAAAAAGAACTCACTGACTTCTATCCCCAATTTTTTCTGTTTCAAGTCCTGCCGCCACATCTATCAGCTCAATGCTCAGTTCTCCACTTCCATCTGCCACCAAGCCAAATGACAAACCACCCCAGTGTGCTACCCCACAAAGTAGGCAGAAGGTGTCCTGGCTCAAGGTCACTGCTCAGGCCTAGTGAACCCCACTGAAGGCGGATGATGATGCACACTACGCTCACTCTAAGGTTACAGTGATTTCACTGAGGTTAGAGCACACACACCAGAGAGCCCCCGAACAGCCTGTTGCTTAACCCCTCTGTAGGGCTGGTGACATCTGGGGTCACTTGAACTTCCTCCAAATTCTGCTGTTCAGAAGATCAAATTAGGAATCCTCGGCCAGGGGCACGTGGGGTACAGAGTGGCCCTACCCACAGGCCTGTAGGTCGCTCACATTACACCCTGCTTCCTTCCTGGCAAGGCCTCCCTTATCCTGAGATGACACTCCATGGCTGGAGTTGGCGACCGAACGCCCAGCATCTGACAACAGCTGTAGAGTAGGGGCTGCTGCTGGGAAGCCGGGCGGCCACTCACACACTAAGTTTCGTGCCAGACTCCTTAAAAAACAAGACACAGTTTTTGTTTGTTTGTTTGTAAGACCGACCCCAAACAAACTCACTGACACCACCCAGCATCCCTGGAAACCACCCACAGCCGCGTGGGGCAGCTGCGAGCAAGCAGCGGAGGCAGCAGGGGGAGCGCCTGGGGCTAACCTTGGCTTCCAGCGATTCTGGCCGCCCAAGACAGCGGTACCCAAGGTGAAGGGCACCAGCCCAGGCCCGGAACCGCGCGCGGGTGCCTGACAGTCAAGCTTCCTGAAATACCACCTCTTCTGCGCCAGTCATCGCCATCCCCATCCTAGTCCCCCGTTCCTATGAACCTGGGTTTAGGACAAGGCAAGAAATCCCTTTCAGAAGGGGCGATTCCCATCTGCGGTGCCGGGACCCCCCGGCGGCGCTTGGAATCTCCGCTTTTTTAGCGGCTGCAGCGCGGACTCCGCGCGTGGCTCATCCGCTCGCGTGGGTTGCGCACCTCTGCCCCGGGGCAAGCCCACCTCCCCGGGAGCACGTGGAGGTGGCTAGGCACTGCTGAGCCCAGGCATGTCACCGCAGACCTCACCGGTCCGGGTCCGGGGACACCCACCCCCTCCCCCGCAGCCGCGTGTCCTGACCCACCTGTAGCCTTGGAGCTCCCTTCCGCGCCCTTCCAGTTGTCCCTGCGCCTGCAGAGCCCACGACCCCCAGCAGGCGACCCGACCGCCTCTCTCTGCAACGAGCACTCACAATTTAGTATTTCCCGTACACACACACACACACACACACACACACACACACACACACACACACGCCCAATAAAAAGTTAGCCCGGATCCTGGCGTCCCATCGATGGTTCGCTATCTGCATCCGACCCGGACCAGGGCGCTCGCCCGGCAGCTCCAGAGCCCCGGGCACAGGGCAGCCTGCTGGGAGGGGCCACGAGGGGCTGTCGCCCTGGCCGCCGGCGTCCCGGGCCGCCGAGCCACCAGCAAAGACCCATGCGTGCCGCCACCCGGGCCCCGCCGCGCGCCACCTACCTCGGGGAACTGGCGGCGGCGACCGTGGCGCGGGCTCCCGGAGACAGCGTGCTGCGTCCCGGGAGGAAAGTTTGTGCCATGCAGAGAGGGGCGGCGCGCGGACAACGCGGGCGCCGGGGGTGGGGGCCGGGCGCGGGGTGCGGCCGCTCGTGTCGTCCGTCCCTCGGG